GTTACATCAATTATTTTTTCTTGACAAAAATATCAATTACTGTATTTTTTTTGTTTGTTGTGGATGGAAAATGTCTTCAAAGTAAAGTTTTTAGAGCTATGGAACTGATAATTTTTTTTTTTTTTGGAACTAATAATAATGTAAGGCTATTTAACCTATAGTTTTTCTTTTTAAATGAGAAATCCATTTCTCCTCATTTAAATATAGTTGAGTATTTCATTTTCCCATTGATTTTTATATATAAACACACTATATAGAGTACAAAACATCATTGTTCTGCAGGATCTAAGCAAAAAAAATAAAAAGCCTTTCTTTTCCACTGTCTTCAATGCAATGACTCTTTTTCTCTCTCTTATTCACACCTCTTGTTAGCTTCAAAAATCAAAACCTTCTCAATTTCTTCCATTCTCTCTCTTTCTCCAACAAGCTGCATCTAAAAGTAAAGTGCTTAGTTCTGGTGCAAAGCCATGGGAGTTGTTGTTCTTGCGGTGGTTTTGTTGGCTATGGCTGGTCACTCAAGTAAGACAATCTTCTCTGTTTCAAATCCTGCAAAGTTGAAATATAATAATAACCCTTCTCTGTCTCACATGGATCCCCTCTTTTGCTTGGAAAAAAGATTCTTTCTTTTTCTTGTCATTTTCTTTCTCAAATTCATCCTTTAACCTACTCTGTTTTAGTACAGAACACAGTCCCAAATTTCTGAACTTTCATAGTTGGAATCAAATTTTGTACAAAGAAAGACCCTTTCTTGCTTTACCCATACATTTTTTTTTCTCATAAAAATGTGTTATCTTTTGACTGTGGAGTACACCAATCTTTCTTCCCTAATGAAGTAATGAATAACCACATTTAGGTTTCATTTCACACATAATCAGTGATTCAGAGTTGAAGAAATTTGTGTGGTCATGAAATTATGCGTGTGTGTAGGTGGGACATGGTGTGTATGCAAGGAAGGATTAAGTGAAGCAATGCTGCAAAAGACATTAGACTACGCATGTGGTGCAGGAGCTGATTGTGGACCTATTCACCAGAACGGACCTTGCTTTAACCCTAACACCGTCAAGTCTCATTGTTCTTACGCTGTCAACAGTTTCTTTCAGAGGAAAGGCCAGTCTCTAGGCACCTGTGATTTCGCAGGAACAGCCACCTTCTCAGCCTCTGATCCCAGTGAGTCTCTCTCACCAACCTCTCTCTGTATTCATTCATTAGAACAATGTGCAAAAAAAATCAATGTGTTGAGAGTTGAGACCATAGTTGAAACTAGAGAACAGAGTAGGTTATTTAATTCGGAGTAAAAATGGAACACAACTTGAAAAAGCAAATCAGAGAGGAGATAGTATTATATCAAATCTAAACTTCACATGTTTCAATGGGAGACAAGTAGCCCATTATCTTAATATAAATTATCACACCTCAAGATTCTCTACCCACATATTTTAGAAGATATATATTAGTATATTTTTAAGTAACTGTTGTTTCTTGTACCATTGTGATCTTATGATATAGGCTACACTACTTGTCCTTTCCCTGCAAGTGCCAGGTACAGACCAACATCTTTCTTTCATTACCCTTTATTTTGTTAGTGTTTTGAAACAATAATTGGGTTTGATCTTGATGATCTTGGCTTAATAGACCATCTCTCTAGAGCTTTTGTTTTATCCGATTTCGACAAATTTGAGATGGGTTTGTTTGTTGTTTCTGTATCATTTGATGCCAGTGGTAATGGGACCACGACTCCAGTTACGACCACACCATCGACAAGAGTCCCTACCACAACTAATACAAGACCCTACTTAGTCACACCATCAACAGGAGGAGGATTGGGAATACCATCTGGAACAGGAGGTGGTATTAACCCGGATTACACAGATCCATCCTTTGGATTCAGACTCCAAAACCCAATAGCTAGTTTGTTATTATCTGGATTCTTAGTCTTCGTCACTCTCTTCTTACCGTTCTACTAGTTGTGCTAGCGAGTAGTGACAACAACTAAGTAGTTGGATTGTGTGGATCATGTGAGTGTGTGGGTCTCTTCTCTCTCTCTACTGTAATGATGGAATCTTAG